AATGTTTTGAGAATGATGTACAAATGCGCTTTACACAATTGATGTGTGTATGGATTGCGATAACAGTTGTATGAGCCCCTAATAAAATGTTAAAAAAAAATCAGCCAAAAAAAAAAAAGAATTTAGGAATCTTTTAGGCATAACACGATAGTACGGTCATTCTTCTTTTGTGTCATTCACTTGATTACGATTTCCTCCTCTGTTTTTTAGGATGGAAAGGTGGCCATTGTGACTACATGGTGACTAGTTGTCTTACTACTGAGTCTCTTACTGGAATCATGGAGGAGAAGCAACAGATTATATTGGCTAATCAGGATAGTGGGACAATGGCAGGAGCAGCACCTACTTTCTTTGTCATACTAAAGCAGCCGGGAAATGGCAAAACTGATCAAGGAATTTTGGTTACTAATCGGGATGCCTGTGCTTTGGCTGGCAGTGTGTCATCGCCAGAAAAATCCAAAGGGAAGATTTGCCTTCCAGCGGATTGTACTGTTGGAGGAGTCACAGTCACCCTGGATAATAATAGTATGTGGAATGAGTTCTATCATAGAAGCACAGAGATGATTCTGACCAAGCAGGGAAGGCGCATGTTTCCGTACTGTCGTTACTGGATAACAGGTCTAAATTCAAATTTGAAGTATATCCTTGTTATGGATATATCTCCTGTGGACAACCATCGTTATAAATGGAATGGTCGTTGGTGGGAGCCCAGTGGGAAGGCTGAACCTCATATTTTGGGGAGGGTTTTTGTTCACCCCGAATCTCCTTCCACAGGTCATTACTGGATGCATCAACCAGTATCTTTCTATAAACTCAAACTTACCAACAATACACTGGACCAAGAAGGGCATATCATCTTGCACTCTATGCATCGCTATCTGCCAAGGCTTCATTTGGTGCCTGCCGAAAAGGCTACAGAAGTGATACAATTGAATGGTCCCGGTGTCCACACTTTTACCTTCCCACAAACGGAATTCTTTGCCGTAACAGCTTATCAGAACATTCAAATTACTCAGTTGAAAATAGATTACAATCCATTTGCCAAAGGCTTCCGGGATGATGGATTGAATAATAAGCCCCAGAAAGATGGGAAGCAAAAAAATAGCTCTGACCAAGAAGGGAGTAGTGTTCCCAGTTCTCCTGGTCAGCGTGTTCGTCTTACAGAAGGTGAGGGGTCAGAAATACAGCCAGGTGACCTGGATCCCATATTGAGAAGTCATGAAACATCAAGTGAGGATATGGAGAAACCTTCTCTTAATATAAAACAAGACTTTATTGATTTCATGGATACTGATTCAACACTTGAAGTTCCTCAATTGAAGCAAGAGGTTTCTGAGAGGTAGGTAACAATTTTTTCTTTTTAAGAAATAAAAGTGCCACAACTCTATAATATGTTTAAGCCATTTAATTGTATGGCATGTGAATTATATGTCAACAAAACTTTGAAAAGAGAAAGATAAAGGAAGACTTCGAAGAACTGATTTCAGAATTAACCACATTTGTCCTGTGGAATGCTGATTTAGTCAACAATAAATGTATTTCATTATAAAATATATCATAGCTCCTTTTATTGAAGCTGGGTTTAGACAGTTTCTTTTTTTCTCCAATGAGAGTTGTTTATTTTTCTGTAATAGCAGTTGGATTCAGGATCTGGAATTGCAGGCAAATTGGATAACATGCCAGAATGAGGATCTTTCTTCCATTTAGATTTAAAATTTTAATGTTAATTTTCACATGACTGTACTTTGGTAACATGTAGTCACCTCTTGATTAATTATAGAAGAGAGGGCACCCTTATCTGTAAATTGCTTAACCAAAAACAAACTGAAGATTATTTTGTGTCAAAGTAGCATGTATTGTTGCTTCATATTTGAAATTTCCTTATTTCGAGTACTATTAGAACCCAATTTGGGCAGAAATATGTGTACCCCCATACTTTCTTACTTTTTTAAATTCCTTTCATTTTTCATTTACTTTCTATCTCATCAACGCTACTATTCTTTGGGTTTAAGTGAAGGGGCAGTGGAAACTTGGAAGGTGTTCGA